CATTTATATTTATTATAAATATTTTGTATTTAGGGTATTCTTTTTGTATACTTGTGTTATTAATAGCGGATAGCAACAAATAGCGGAAAAGCCAAAATCTACTATGATAGCGTAGCAGGTAGTGTAGCGGCTGCTATAGACAAATAGCAAGCATTAAATAAAAATATAAAAATATAAAAATATAAATCTAATAATTGAAATAAGAGACAAATCTAGTAATAAAAGGCATAAAATGACCTAAGAGTTTATAAAAATTATCAAAAATTATAAAAAACAATATTCTCAAGTCTCAACAAATAAAAATCATAGTTTAGAATGATCAAAGAAGACAATAAAATACTTAAAGAGTACAAAAGTCAAACAAGATCAATTCAGAAAAAAAAATCAGATAATAGAACTTTAAAATAGAAAATCATTCAAGAGTCTAATAATCCTCATCACTCTCTTCTACTTCTAATTCTTCTTGGTCAGCCACCAAATCATCATCATCCTTGTCTTTCTGACTTGTTCCACCATGCTTAAACTCCTCTTCTTCCTCCTCTGACTTTTCAAGATCTAAAGTATGAGCCTCTTCAGTAATTCTAGTAGTATAAACTGCATTAACACTAGAGGTTGTGGCTAGAGTTTTAAAGGTTAGTGCTAAAATTTGAGAGGTCAAGGCTGCAGTTGCATTTCCTTTTGCTTGTCCCCTAGTATAAGTTCTAATTTTTCTTGCCCCTAATATAATTGTAATATAAACTTGCTAGTTACTTCAATACAAAAAAAAAAAAAGAAATAGAGGCGCAATTGCAGAAGTATAACCAAGCAAAGAAAAAAATAATTGTCACATGCTTTTGTGTCTAACTTTCTATTTCTAATTCCAACTTTTTGTTCTGGTGTCAAAAAAAGAAAAAAGAAAAAAGAAAAAAAGAAAAAAGAAGGAGACGGCACTTGCAAAAGTAGAACCAAAGCCAAAAAATCTGGTGTCAAAAAAAAAAGAAAAAAGAAAAAAGTGAGAGACGGCACTTGCAAAAGCAGAACCAAAGCCAAAAAAAAAAAAAAAATTGTAACATGCTTAATTGTTGTCTAGTAAGATTAGTGGCTACTTGAAAGATTACCTGAAATTGGAGACGATATGATGTACAAAACAATGTTTAATCGCTGTCCAGTAACTCCAGTTATAGGAGGTGTGAAAGGGTGAGTTGTGAGACTGAGAGTTGCCTTGCACTTTTCAACTCTTGCTATGGCTGATGGGGACTAAGAGGAGTCTAGATGGTGCGCAAAGTGGGAGAGAATATCAGCATCGAGACTCATGAGGGTAGACTGGTAGAGGAGAGTTGAGAGGAATGCGCAGGACGTGTGGAGACCAGATGTGATGAGTTGTTTTAGGGTTTTCTTTCTTTAATTTATAAATAGAAAAGTTGGAAAGACAAAATTAACCTTGAAAGCTTTTAACTTAAACTCTTGATGTGGGGTTAACATGGTAATTTGATAAAAAAAAAAAGTCAAGAAATTTAAATAGCGGTCGCTATACCTACTACTGGCTATTTGTATAACGGCCACTATTAGCGATCATAGTGGCTGCTATTGTTCACCCACTACGCCTACGCTATGGAGATTTTCCATAGCGGCCATAGCTGGTCGCTACGCTATATCGCTATAGTAACCACTATTGACAACACTATTGTATACACTAATATAGATCATTGTTTTAAAACCTGGTCTGGTCTGATCAATTTAATTGGTTGAATCACACTCAATTTTAAAAATAGCCCAAGTGATGATAATAACCTATTTAAAGTCAAACTTGGTTAAAACCCGTCTAAACCCTGTTAAATCCACTCAGACTTGATCAAATTCAGTCAAATTTCGTCAACTTGGTTGACTTGACTGGTTCAAATTTTTTTTTTAACATTTTCACTTTTTTTCGTTTTTCTTTAATCTTTATATTTATATTTATTTAATTAATAGATAATATAATAATTAAATTATAAAATCTATTTAAAATCAAATCACAAGTAATGAATGAAAAATTTTGAATTAATTTAAATGTAATTTTAAATTAAAATTAAATCA